GTCGCCACAGCCTTCCCCCATCTAATTCTGCGCGCAAGCGGGTGCCAGACGGCAGCTACCAGTGTCTAACGTCGCCTTTGGAATCCTATAGAACAACAGGTGCAGAACCGCGTAGCAGCAGCCAAGGCTGCCCTGTAGAAAGCCTAAAAAGGGCTGGTGTCGCCGCGCGCAAACGGGTGCCAGACGACGACTATTATAATTACCAGGTGTCTAACATCGCTTTTGGAATCCTATAGCAAAACAGGTGCGGAACCACGTAGCAGCAGCCAAGGTGATGGCCAGAGACCCGTCCTGCTGCCCTGTAGAAAGCACAAAAAGGGCTGGTGTCGCCACAGCCTTGCCCGACGGCAGCTACCAGTCTCTAACGTTGCTTTTGGAATCCTATAGAAAAACAGGTGCGGAACCGCGTAGCAGCAGCCACGGTGATGGCCACAGACCGGTTCTGTTGCTGTGTAGAAAGCCCAAAAAGGGCTTGTGTAGGTGATGGCCTAAAGCATGTCCTGCTGAGCAACTGAAGCCATAAAAAGCTGGACCAAAGGGCCAATGCGAACCGTTTCACCCTGCGGTGTCCCAGGCGCCGCCCCGCCTAGGCGTCAGCTGGGCCGGGGTCGGCGGATATATAAGCTTCTTGTTACTGCTAAGTGCCCTTATTACTACTAGTAGTAATGCCCTTGTTACTAGTCGCGACTCACTTGTTCCTCTATATATAATCTATCTATCTATCTACCTATCTATCTATTTATCACCTAGCTAGCTAGCTAGCTAGCTATCTAGCTAGCTATCTATCTATCTATCTATCCATCTATCTACCTATCTATCTATCTATCTATCTATCTATCTCTCTCTCTATATATATACATATGTTTTGTGGAATGGCCATCACCACATCGACATGGTAAACTATGAAGAATGTATGTTTCAACTCGAGCTGTGGATTGGGTATAGTCTTTACCAACTCCCTTTGATAGATCCTTGCTTGGACTTGCTTGGACTTGCCTACGTAGTGTGTCGCCCAGACTCAGGCATCAATCACGTGACCATTCTTTTGAACACCCTGGGTATCGCTGGCGTCAACACCTTGGCAGATCTCAACGTTCCATGGCCGGCGGAAGTTCCATGTTTCGGGCGAAAAGAGGGGAACTGGTTCGGTGAGTGTCATTTCTTTGTGGACCCAGAACGAAAGTGGTCGTCAAATGTTAGTACTACATAGTATAGTAGAATAGGGAACACAGTACCATTATTTACCATTATTCCATATGTTTCGCAAACTCGTTTGCTCCGGTTGATTAGCCATCCAACCAGCTCACTAGCTTAGCAGGAAATGAACAACATTTGGGTCACCAGAGAGGAAGCATTAAATTGATTGGGAAGTGGGAAAGGGACCAACGCCTTTATGTCAGATGATGTGCATGTTCAAAGGACCATTTCTTCATTAAATGTCTAAGATGGGGGACACACGAATGCAAACTACTTCAGTTTTCCCAACCCAGCACCCTCGCGGTGATGAGTGGTTTCTTCCAATGAGGAATCGATTCCCATCTGCACATGCCACCTGCATGAGCCACGTGCTTTATCAAAAATCAATTGAACACGTCATCACCACTACGGAAGAATCATCAACCATGCCATGAGTCTCTCTACATCTCTCTACCACTTTTACGCCAATCCATGTTTGTTCCAACCATCAACAAGTTCTGAGAAACTCGATGCGAGGCTTTACTCCAGTCGGAAGGATTGGTCTTCAATGCTGCTGGGGGCAGCGACGGCTTGACACAGGGCAGCGTTGAGGTGTCCTTGGAGCAGCATGGTGCAGTTTGACCGTGCTGGTGGCGGGGTACTGGGAGAGCGGCTGAAAAGAGCTGACAAAGAACTGACGTAGTTTGTAGTGACGCGTGGTTTACTCCACATTGGAAGCACCCAGAATCAGAAGTTGACCCCCTCCCTTTGAAACAGAGTCGTGGAGGTATGTGGGAGTGCGATAGAGGTGGATTGTGAGCGACGCGACCAGAAGGATCACAGTTTTGGGTCTCAGCTCGGCAACGAAGGAAGGTGAGTGTTTGCCTTTGCCTTTCTGCTCCCCAGCTACATTCCAGCTACATTCGCTGCCTCAAGCCTTCAAGCGATTGGTTGACCTTCGATCCAAGCTTTGGCACAAGCATGGCAAGCCACGGACACCCTATCAAAAACCTCTACGGACTTACCAAGATGGACAACTTGCGCCACAACTCGGTTGGGGAAACGATCGTCTTTGGCATGAAGGGCCATGCCATCGGCCATGCCAACCATTTCCATGCGAAACATTCGGAGCACATTGGAGTGCACAACTTGTTTAATGCACGCCGATTCTCAGCAGACACTGCCCAGACGATCCCAGGCAGAGCTCTACGATCGCAGCTTCTGGGCTGAAGGTTTAAGACCTGGGCGCAGGTGGGTCCGAACAAAACATGTTTTCTGCATATCAGAATGCCATTTTTTGGAGGGCTTAGGTGGGCGTGGACAATTATGTATAGTAATTATGTTTGCTTCTGATACTTTTCGGATTACAGGTTTCAACACCAATATTTTCTCTTTGGAATAGAACATCCATCCTTCAACCACATGGACATTCTGACAATGACCTTAAGTGCCCACCAAGAGCGATTTGTGATCATTTTTTCCAGTTACATATTTGCACCGACAGAGTCCTTTCCTGTGACGACTCACAGCTTCCCCGACGATTGGACTTAATCTTCTCGCTGGGGTGGCCGAGGATGTGGTGCCGCACCGCTTTGCGTGCGGTGCTCAGCAGACGGTGCCCTGCTCGTTCTTGGAGCTCATCCAGCGCCACGAAGGCTGCTGGAGGGGGAAGGGACGACGGTGGTCAGCAGAGTCACTGACCAGTGGCTGGTCAGATGGTGAGGTTAGCGAATGCAAGTATGGATCAGGGACAGTATGAGGGATGTTGACTGAGTTGACGGATTCACAGTGGGCTCCAAAGATCTCCAAAGGTAGAAACATATTTAATATACACTGAAATTACACCAAACAGAGGGTGACGTGTTTCGGGATTGATCTTTGAATTGTTCTTGTGGGTCATCTTAGAGTCTTTTTTCATCTTTCGGAGCAAGTCTCTCGTCGCTTGAAGACGCAAAAGGAGTGGAAGAAAGGTGAGACGGGTGAAACGAGACTTGGGTGAAACATGAAAAGACCTGGCCAAGTCTTGAACAGGAGATAGAACACCTTCTGACAAGCCTGTCAATTGGATTTGGCACCTTCGTGCTTGCCGACTTTGTTGCGTTTCCTTGTAAGGCCTCCGGGTCCCCTGCCCAGCCATGAGATCCACTCTCTGAGATTGGTCGGGAAGGCTTCCCAACAGGTTCCCAGATTCCAGCAACCAATGGGTCCGGTCCAATGAGAGCTGTACCTTTGGAGTCCAACCCTAGCTGGCCCTAGCTCTCAACACCTTGGACAACCCGAAGGCTTGAGCGGAGCCAAGACTCCGCGAGGATTCCCGTGCCGCCCCGGCCTTGCTGAGGCTTCCGGGGCTTCCTGGGGCAGAACGCAAAAGGCGGGGCCTTCTGGTGCGAACGCCGTTTCAACGATTCGATGTCCAGGGCCTCTTGAGCAGATCCTCCCTCCTCACAGGGAACAGGTTGGGAGGGTCTTACGATTTTTTTGAGTCTGTCTGCTGTGTTTATTTCCGCAGACACATGTAGTCCGCGTGTTGCTTCATGCGAACATGATCGAACATTGTGGAAAGATGCGCTTCACTTGGACTATTGGATGGGTCAAACACCCTGGAAGCCTCTCTCGCAGGCAGCGTTGGTGTTTGAGTGGGTGGAGGGCAGTGGGACCAAGACAAGTGATGGGTCAAACACCTAAACCTTGGGCTGTCGATAAACATGATCACCATTTTTGAACAAGGCCTTTACTAACCATCATCATCCACTGTTCCTGGTAATTCGGAATATACCCAATCTAAACACTCGGTAGAGCCCGCACAAGTGTGTCTGGTTGGACGCAGCGGCTAAGGACAACGATAGAATTTAGGAACCCTCCCAAAGATAGAGTTTCTTAGAGGTTCTCACCTTCTGCAGCAATTTTGGCTCACCCGAATCGCACAGCAATCTTCGCTGCTCACCAATTCGTTTCGACGATGTCCGGCGCGGAATTCACCGAGATGACGGGCAAGGTCATCAAAGAGGCGGCTCGCCTCGCCAAGGAGCCGAGACGACGGGCAAGGTCCATCACCGACGGTGTGAAACTCTGAAAAGGCTAAAAATGGAAGGCCACCCCTAGAAGTACCAAGGAAAGCCTCGGAAGGAATTCTCAGATCGTTTGCAGTGCACTTTTCTTTAAAAGAAAACTCAATTACTTTAAATGAATAATAGTAATATATAGTAATATGTTTTTGTAGAGGGCAGAGAGAGGACTGATGGACTCGCTTGAGATACCATAGATGTTTCAGGTCAAACTCTGCCTTTGAGTCAAAACGCTGGCTATCAAAGACCAGTCGCTCTATCCACTTCCATCACCCATCTTGACAACTCCACTCTGATTCCACATGTCCTTAAGGATGGCTCAGGTTTACTTTGCGTCCGGTTCTACCTTCAGCCAGATTGTTGACTGCAGAGCCAGCTTCTGGGGTTTTCTTTGGCTTCTAGGGACCTATGAAGCTTTCTGACCATTATTTTTGAACTTTGAACAGTTACCCTAGGTGCCGACTTGAAGCCAGGGTCGACTTGGGCTTTGAATTACTACAACGCAACAACGCAGCGAACGATAAAGGATACTGAGGGAAGCGTGAATTTGACTGTTGATCCAATGATCCAGAACCCCCCTACCTAGATGGTCAAACATATCCATATCGATGTTTTATGAATCAACAGGCAACATTGGAACACGAGGTATCTTTGGTCTTTGATCTCATGCTTACATTGAGTTCAACCTGTTGGTTTCTCTTATGTTTGCCTGATTCGCTGATTTGGGCGATAACTGCAGGAAGGTGGCGAATTGTGCTGGAACCTGCAACCTCGAACTTTTGATTGGCAGCTGGCTGTCTAGGTGGACCGACTTGGGACTCCAGGAGAAAGGCCATCTCCAGCTGGACCCGGCGCACATCTTCACCGTCCTCGTGAAGGACGGGGTTCGGACCTGCGGTGGGTTTGCCGGTCGGTTTGGTGGTAATCCAACCATCTCCCTAGACAGACATTTCCCAATTTTTGTTATCCTGTTGTCCCTTTGTTTTTTTCTTGGCGGGTTTGATTCCCTACAAGATCAGATGCCTTGATGTGGAAGCTTGGATTATCCTGGATGTTTCATGAATGCCAGAGTGCCAGACCAGAAGTGTTCTCTGTACAGTTTGCCTTGATTGGCTTCACATTTGCTACCAGGACAAAAGCTCTTTGCCCGCACAGGCTCGAGGGGTGACCAAGTGGCAAGGGACATGTGGGTGTGTTTTTGCGAGGAAGACTAGAGGCAAGAACCAGGAACTTAGTGTAAAACAATCATCTACGAGGGTCCACACAAGAAATTCAAGAGATGTTCTGTGTTTCCTTCCCCTCGGCCATCGCTTCGCAATATTTAATAATATACCTTATATACTTTAAACTTACAGTAATACTAGACATGTTGTCAAAACATGTGGATGAATTCAATTCCATGATTGTTTGGCAGTATAAACAATCTTTGGAGCGAGATGCGCTGCGCAGGAACCCTTTTTTCTACACCTTGTGTTCAGCTTTGCATCATGACTCATGACCTTTCCGACGGTCGTTTTGGAGGTGCTGGGACGACTCAACGGCGACAGCCTGGAGTTGGTCAAGGGCTGCGATCGCCTCCTCGGGGGCTTCAGCTCGCAATCCCCGGCGCCCGAGGCTGGCAATCCCTGTGGAACGAACGGGGAGCAAACGCGAGGGCGAACGTAAGGGCCACAACTTGCCATTGTTGAACAGAACTGCCTATGGTTGACAGCCGACGGGGTTGACTGAGGACGCTTCTCAGGCTTGCCTCAAGTGCACTCCTAGGCTAGGAGACTTCTCGAAAAAGTAACAGGATGGTCAAGGAGAATCTGAGAAAATAATAAGTATCATTCTGATCACGAACTCTAATTAATGAGCATACTACATTAATCAACATTATCATTCATTCTGATATATTCTGATCGACCTTTCCTTGCCTTACTCTCATTCTGATCACGAACTTCTCATCCCAAAGGAAGGCGAAGATGCCTCAATTCGTTTCTGTGGACCTGAACTAGCGGTGCCGTCGAAGCTCCACGGAGGATTTGCCGCCGAACAACGCCATGCGCACGGTGCTGAACGAGGCCGAGAAGCTCCGGAAGCAAAGTGGGGATAGACACTCAGCTGCAAACGAAACCTGCGAAGTGAGTAATTACAGCTTAGCAAGTAGTCCGTCGTTCTGGGTCCCAGGTTTTGACCCCTAGCCATGCGGGTGATTGAAATTGACGTATTTTTTAACCACCTGCACCGCTTTGGCTTGACCACTCGTGGTTAGAAGTGGACCATACTAGACCTTAGTTAGCATGTGGCCTGCATGAAAGCCATCCCCAACCAACACAACAACACACTTTTTTCTACAACTTCCAACAAATCGGCTGCAGGTGGAAGTCAAAACTGCTGGTGGCACCGACTGAGGGGCCCGACTCTAGCGCACTCGAGTCTTGTTTTGAGGCTACTTGAGTTTGACGGACCTCTTCTTAGCACTGATGAAGCAGAAGACCATCAAGGACATTTTTGATGGGACTTGTGGTTTGGAGTTGCATGTAGAGGAAGTTGACCACTCTGGAGCGACCCAACATGCCTTGGTGCCTTGCTCTTTAAAGGCACCTTTGGAGGTGTGAGGTCGCTTCGGCCCCTAAGAGGTGACTTGGGGGTTCTAAGGCGGTCATCTGGAATGAGCTGTGCTTATAGTCAGAACTTTTGCGACATCAGGCAGGAAGTGAGATAGACCCCCTCAAAAAAATGACATGATATTTGTGCAATAGATCAGACATACTTTTACACAATGACTATGCTACCAGGTAATCCGCAGTTGCCCTTGCTTAATCTCATCTGGACAAAAGATATGTGTCCAGAAATTACGCCATGCCCAAACGGTGTCATCTAACACATCAACACCAGATTTGTTACCAGACTCAACACAGTAGTCCACGTTTAAGAGATCGCCCCCCGTTGGACAAAGAAGTGAATTGACAAATAATGCTACTAGTAACAAGGGCGTTACTACTAGTAGCAAGAAGCTGCTAGTAACAAGGGCATCGCTACCAGTAACAAAAAGCTACTAGTGACTCCTGGCATTACTACTAGTAGCAAGAAGCTACTAGTAAATGTCTTTTCATGTTTTGACAAATCATGTCCACTTCTTTGGATTGTCACGGCGTTGTTCCCACCGATCTATCGGCCTTCCGAACCTCGGGGAGGAAGTGCTGACCAGTGCGGGGTACAGCTTGACCCAGTTGGAGAAAGCAATGCAGGACGGCTTGGAAGTTGAAGCGAGACATGCAGCATGCCATAGGATTTTGCATATTGACCTTGTTTGGCCTTGAAGCATCCAACTAGTCTTTAGATAGCCAGGCATTTTTGGCAGTGGAAGTAAGATGAAAGGTCAAGCCGTCGGTCTCTGAACTGATCCTTTTCCGGCTCCAGGAGGTCCGAGGTTCCAAGAAGGTCGACAGCCAGACAGGCGGGGATCGTTCGTTTCGACTCGGCCTGGAGACTCGCGTGGTGTCTTGGTGTGGATCTCCCGCGGTGACAAAAACCGTGTGCCGGGTGCCCGGTTTTTCGGGACAAGATGATCAAACAAGAGATACTAGTAGATACTGCAAAAAAGGCATCTCGTGCCGCCCTCCTGTGGCCGACGCCTCGTTTCGGAACCTGGATTCGTCTCGTTTCGGAACCTGGATTCGTCTCGTTTCGGACCCTGGATTCGCCTTGTTTCGGAACGCGGATGAAATGGTCTCCCGAGGCTAGGAAGTGGTTTCTGGGAAGCGGTTTCTGGGAAGTGGTTTCTGGGAAGTGGTTTCTGGGAAGTGGTGTGGTTTCTGGGAAGTGGTTTCTGGGAAGTGGTTTCTGGGGGCTGGTTTCTGGGAAGTGGTTTCTGGGAAGTGGTTTCTGGACGCTGGTTTCTGGGAAATGGTTTCTGGGAAGTGGTTTCTGGGAAGTGGTTTCTGGGGGCTGGTTTCTGGGAAGGCTGGTTTCTGGGAAGTGGTTTCTGGGAAGTGTTTTTTGGGGGCTGGTTTCTGGGAAGTGGTTTCTGGGCAGTGGTTTCTGGGAAGTGGTTTCTGGCAAGTGGTTTCTGGCAAGTGGTTTCTGGGAAGTGGTTTCTGGGGAATGGTTTCTGGGGGCTGGTTTCTGGGAAGTGGTTTCTGGGAAGTGGTGTGGTTTCTGGGAAGTGGTTTCTGGGAAGTGGTTTCCGGGAAGTGGTTTCCGGGAAGTGGTTTCTGGGAAGTGGTTTCTGGGGACTGGTTTCTGGGAAGTGGTTTCTGGCAAGTGGTTTCTGGCAAGTGGTTTCTGGGAAGTGGTTTCTGGGAAGTGGTTTCCGGGAAGTGGTTTCCGGGAAGTGGTTTCTGGGAAGTGGTTTCTGGGGACTGGTTTCTGGGGGCTGGTTTCTGGGAAGTGGTTTCTGGGGGCTGGTTTCTCGGAAGTGGTTTCTGGGAAGTGGTGTGGTTTCTGGGAAGTGGTTTCTGGGCAGTGGTTTTTGGGAAGTGGTTTGTGGGAAGTGGTTTCTGGGAAGTGGTTTCTGGATACTGGTTTCTGGTGACTGGTTTCTGGGAAGTGGTTTCTGGGGACTGGTTTCTGAGAAGCGTTCTTTTTTTGAGGGGGTGGTGGTGAAGGCCTAAGTCTAACCCACAGGCATCGTAAAGAAGCAAGGCCCTAAGCCAAGCCAAAAGAAACCGTGGCCCTACAGGAGCGAAACCCTAAGCAAAACCAAACCAAACCCTAAAGAAGTGAAGCCTTGAGTCAAACCCACAGACATCCTAAAGAACTGAAGCCCTCAGTGAAACCGAAAGACATCCTAAAGAGCTAAGCCCAACCAACCAGAGACCCTAAAGAAGTGAAGCCCTAAGTGAAACCCAAGACATCCCAAAGGAGCCCTCACATGAAGGCCTAAGTCCAACCCAAAGACATCCTAAAGAAGCAAAAGAAAACCTAAAGGATCGAAACCCTAAGCAAAAAAAAACGGATCCTGAAGAAGTGAAGCCCTGAGTCAAATCCAAAG